GGGTGAGTACACATCAGTGTTGAGCAGCAAGAAGCCATGGCAGTCAAACTTGCTTGACATAAAACTGGCTAGGTGTAGCACTTTACCAGCATCCACATAAACATGTGCTGGTTGGAAAGCATGCAGACTCGTGTCGATGGATGCTCTGAACAAACCCAAGATCCCTCTGTACTGAATCAGCAGCTCAGTAAGTAAGACAGACTCTAGAGACCACAGCTGTTTGCCTAGAGGAGAGCATTCCAAACCCCTTCCCAAACAGTGGTCTCAGCTCTTGCTCCCCAGTTAGGGTCTGTGTTGCTGTGATAAAACACCATGCTCAAAGGCAACTGGGAAAGGAAAGGGTTTATTTCAGCTTGATCACAGTTCATCATGAAGGGAAGTCAGGGACTCAAGGCAGGAACCCTGAAGCAGAGACCACGGAGGAACACTGCTTACTGACTTTTTCCTCATGACTTGCTCAGCCTGCGTTCTTATACAAGTCAGGACTACCTGCCCAGGGGTTTCACCGTCCACAATGGGCTAGGCCCTCCCAACTCAATCACTAATTTAAAAAAATGCCCTACAAGCTTGCCTACAGCTCCATCTGTGGAGACACGTTTTCAATTAAGATTCCTCCTTCCCAGGCATATCTAGGGTTCTCCCGCGTTGACAGAAAATGATCAGGACACATGGCACTACGAAACAAAGAGGCCTGAGACCCTTGACTACAGCTTCAAGTTCATTATGGCCTCATGAAGTACAATGGTGCTTGGTACTAAAAGTTATCGTGACTTATATTTCTGCTCTTTGTGCTAGGTCTCCACTAGTAACACTCAGACTTTCACAAAATGCAGTGTTCTCGTAGATTGAGAACATCTCACAATGTTCTCTGTAATCTCCCTAGATTAGATTGGCGATATCCTCATTGTGACTTTCATAATTTTATACCTAAATTAGCTTTAAAGATTTTTATTTTAATTATGCTGTATTTGGGAACAAGGAGTGTGAACACTTGAAGAAGGCATCAGAACCCTGGGTTATGAGTTCCAGGTGATTGTGAGTCATGGGCTCTGAAAACCAAACTTGTGTCCTCTAGAAGACCAGGAAGCACTCTTAACCACTAAGCCATCTCTCTGTCCCCTTAAAAATTTTTTTCTTGTCGATTGGCTTTAATAAGATCTTATGTCTTTGTTAAAAAAGAAACAAAAAAAAACCAACTTTGATAAATCTATATTGAAAGTTCTGTGGATTGGATCTAGGAAACTTGGACAATTGACTAAATAAGGAAATAATGTTAAGGAGATTGACAGTGCTTTCCAGGTTGTTGGTTGGTAGTCCATTGGTTTCTTGGTAGGTGGGTGGTTGATTATTGGGTAGTTGGTTGTTGATTGGTTTGTGGTTGGTGGATGATTAATGGTTGGTTGGGTAGTGGCTGATGGGTGATTGATTTGATGGGTTGTTGGCTGCGGGCTAGTTGGTTGGTTGGTGTTTGGCGGATGATTGTTTGGCTGGTAGTTGGTTGGCTTGTGCTTAGTTGCTTGGCTGATTAACCTAGATGGTTAGTGGATTGACTGGTAGTTGGATGATTGTTTGGTGGTTGGTTAGTGGTGTTTGGTTGATCAGTGGTTGGATATTGATTGGTGAGTTGATGCCTGGTTGTTTGCTGCTTAGATGGTGGTTGGTTGGTTGGTTGGTTGGTTGGTTGGTCGGTTGGTTGGTTCATAGTTGGTTCTGGTGCTTGTTTGGTTGGTGAATGGGTAGTGGTTGGCTGGTGGTTGGTTGTGTATTGATGCTTGTTTGTTTTGTTGGTTAAGCTTGTACACTCGGGCAAATGCTTGGCTATTCAGCTAATCGCTGATCAGTCGTGACCACTGACATGAAACAAATGAAGAGATCATTGGTATCTGCCTTTTCTTCTGAAGGCAATTCTCCTGAGCAGCGATGGACAGAACTTGGTGACTGGAGGGGACAATGGTGTGGTAGAGGTCTGGCAGGCCTGTGACTTCAAGCAGCTGTACATTTACCCTGGATGTGATGCTGGCATTAGGGCAATGGATTTATCCCACGACCAAAGGTGAGCCATGCCAAGGGCAGCGTGATCCCAGGAATAGGCCGGAAGCTTGGCATTCTTATCCCACCCAGATTAAGGAAAGAGCAACACAGAAAGGGCAAGCTGGAGATGAGTAAAAACCCAAGAAAGGCCCAGCTTTTCAGCTATAGAAAAACTCTCTTGGAAGAATATTGACTTTGAAATTATTTTAAGTATTAGCACATATAATTAATGTAACAAAGCATTTTGCAGTAGAGGAGAATGGTACAGAGGACATCAAGAAAAACAGTGTACACGTTCAATCGGTAAACTGCTTCCTGAGTAAGTATGAGGACTCAAAGTTCAAATCCCAGAACCCACATAAAGAAGCCAGGCATGATGTGCACACTTGTAACCTCAGCCCTAGAGAGATGGGACATGGTGATCCTAGGGCTTGTGAACTAGCCTAGTCAAGTCAATGGAGTCCAGGACACTCTATTTCAAGAACAATAGAGTGTCTGAGGTTTGAAGCCAAAATAGTTTCCTACACACACACACACACACACACACACACACACACACACACATATTCAGGGTATAGAGAGAGAGTAGGAAAGGGGTGGAGTGGTTAAAGGACACTAAAGATAAAGGCCAGAATTCCACAGAAAAGGCCGGGGTTGGTCCCAGAGAAAGATATGGGTGGACCATAAATACAACAGCCGAGAGGCAGCAGAGCCCGGGTCATACTAGAATGTGTGGATTTATGCATCTGACTAATGCTCTCCAGCATGGCTGTCCGCTAGCTGAGTAGCTCTTGGCAGAATCAAGAAGAAATGCTAGACCTCTCTCAATGAGCACAGTTAAGACTTGGGGACTTTTGAGATAAGGCCTGTGTCCCGCATGAAGTAGCAGTGTGTACTATTTTTCTGTCTCTCTTCACCACTGTCTCTGCTTTTACAGGACTCTGATCACTGGCATGGCTTCCGGCAGCATTGTAGCTTTTAATATAGATTTTAATCGGTGGCATTATGAGCATCAGAACAGGTACTGAAGAGAAGCTGCAGAAGCACGTTCAAGCGAGAGCGCATGTGCTCTGTGGAAAGGCAGTATCTCTGGTGGGACGCTCGTCTGCATCGGTTCTGTACATCCATCCCACCCAGCAGTCACCGAACATCGTAGTCAGGAGCCATTTCACCTGTTTCTCCAGGACTGAACACCAGCTGCTGTCAAGCAAGCTCATATCATGTAAATTATCTGAATTAGGAGACGTTTTGGTAATTATTTCATATATTGTCGTTTATTGAGAAAGGTTGTAGGGAGCCTCACAAGAGACTTTTGACAATTCTGAGGAACCTTGTGTCCAGTTGTTACAAGGTTTAAGCTTTGAACCTAACCTGCATCCCATTTCCAGCCTCTTTTCAAGCTGAGAAAAACAGAACCCACGTTTGATACTTTGTACATCATATGCATCTTATTTAAAGGGATACTTTTGTAAAAGTGAAACCTTGTATAAAGAAAGAGCAGCCTTTGTTAATTTACTGTGGAATTACAACCTGCATGCTCCCTGCTCCCCCGTTTTGATGGAACTGGTGCAGTCAAGCTAGGAAATGGAAAGGACGCAGCTTGTTCAAAGGGTTGGATTTGGGCTCAATCAGTAGTTTTGACATTTTCACCACAATATGATTTGCACTTTTTAATCTAAATTTATCCCTTCTAAGTGAAGTTTGCTCATATACCGTTTGGACACTAAGCCATTATTTGCCATTGTTGGTACTTTATACAAAGAAAATTCAGCCCTGCCCTTTAGGACTTGAAGATGCAACAGAAAGGGAGCCTGGGGATGAGGGCCTGGTTTCTACTGTGTAAATGGGAGTCCTGATCATTAGTCCCATTGCATCAATTTCCCAGCACCTAGACATCTCTCCCCTGTGTCAGCCCACTGACTCAGTCTCCATGTCAGATGAGGATGAAGATGCTAACATTTCCCCTTCCTTGGTTCTTGAGTAGCTTAGTTTAATGATGAGTAATTGAACTTATCCCTTTCGTTTCTTGTGAGATTCTCACCTACAGCCACATTCCTAGTCTAAGGCACTTAATCTTTTACAATATAAAATGATGGCTTTCAAATGATTTTTCCATTCATCGTCCCTATCCAGATATCATCCAGGGGTCTATACATTTTCTTCATGTTTCTTCTTTGTATATTTGGTGACTGTATTGTCATAGATGTACATATGGTGTCGGTAGGGCTATGAGGCATGTTACAGGAATGTAATTTTCTCAGAATTTCGCTCACTTGCAGTCATTCATTTCAAAAGATAAAACCGGATAATGGGTTCTTTGTGTGGGCACTTTGCTCCAGACACATGTCATTATTTATTGCTGTAATTACTTCTTTGTCATCCACCTTGTACTAGGAAGTTTTAGCACTGAATTATTCCTTCTTCATTGTTGTTTGTATTTATGAAATTCTGAAATTATGGGGAATCAGTGTACTGATTACGTTATTCATCACCAGGCTGTGAGCAATATCTTGAGTTTGTAGCTTAGAATTGGGAAGGCACTGAACATCTGGAAGACAAGGTCATTTCATCTTGAGATCATGGTGAAATATTTTGGATATATAAATTCCTTAAGCTATTGTAACCATGTTTTATTGCAAAGATGTAAAATATGCCAGATGTGTGTGAGTTGGAAATCAAAAAAGAAAAATAAAATATGCAAAGAATTCAGATCACTTCACATGTCACTGGCTACCTCAGTGACACAGCGCCCTTACACTGGCCCTTGGGTTTGAAAAGAATCAGCATTGTCTCCTGTGAGGGCCTCACATGCAAAACCATGAACAGAGTCTGGACACAGCCTGCAGTCTCTGGCCATTGCCAGAATGTGAACAGTGGGGTCCACAGGGACAGGAACCAAGTGACAAAGGAAATATCTTCCTGAGTGTTATCAGATAATGACATTTTTATCTGAAAAACCACACTTTGTAGAGTTCTTCATCCAGCCGGAGTAACCCAGACAGGGTCTGAGGTCTGGAGAGCTGAGCAGCTGCTGGCCACAGCAAGGCAGATGACAGGCAGGTAAGGCTGCCATCTGCATCCCTGTAATGGAAAGGACAGGGGCATTGGAACCCCAAGAAAGATTGGCCCTTTCTCCATTCCTAGCCCAGAACCAGAAACTGGTTAGGTGCCACAAGCTCCCGAGCGCCTTCACCCCGCTCATGTGGTAACCTAAATATTCCAGCTGGCCAGCTACTGCCCAAAATACCTGCAGACTGCTCTTGGTTTTCCCGTCCGCCCGTCACTGCACTGCCCCAAACCTGTCCCTGCGGCAGTGCACCTGCCCAGCACCCTTCAGGTGAAGTCTTGGGAAGAGTGTTGTTGAGCTTAAGAAAATCATCCGGGGCCTTTAAAGAGCATAGCAGCCCCTGCATGATCAGACCCATTGCCCGTGATTACTTCTTAACAACCCTGTGCAGGCCCTGAGTCCCTCAGGGGGACACAGATGACTCAGTCACACACGTGAGCGCTCTCTCTTTCTCTCTCTCTCTCTCTCTCTCTCTCTCTCTCTCTCTCTCTCTCTGTGTGTGTGTGTGTGTGTGTGTGTGTGTGTGTGGCCATTACTCTTGGCTATTATGTTCATTTGCAGAGCTGGGGAATGTAGCACAGTTGTCAGCCTGCCTTGTATTCATGCACAAAACCATGGGTTCAGTCCCTAGCATGGACTAAACCCAGACGTGAGTAATTCCAGGTCCTCTGTAATTCCAGGAGGTCTTGGCAGGAGGATCAGAAGTTCAAGGTCATCATCAGCTACATAGAAATTTCAAGGGCAGGCTGTGCTGTCTGAGGAACTGTCTCAGACTCAAAACAACCGCGCATTTACAATTTCCGGGAACCCTGTCCCTTGTCCCCAGAGTTCTTCCTCCTGGAGTGCCGAGGCTACTCACATCAGCCCATTTAACACCTCATTAAAATCGATTTCAACTCAGTGGCTCATGAATAGTCTTGTTTGGCAAGCAGAGGTACCCCCAGCCCCATTTCCATGCAACATAAGAGAAACAACTTTTAAATTATACGGACAGTTACAGCTCTTCTTAGAGGTCAGTGAAATCAGAGTGCTATTTTAGGTAATGTGACAACCATTTGCACTGAACAAACAGCAAAAATTGATGCTCACTTGTTGTAGAAACTGGGTTCTGTAAGCTTATAATGCAGCACCCAGAATTGCCTCACCTACTTGCTGGGTACCATCATTCTAAGAGATGCCTAAAGGCTTTAAGAGTCTTATGCCCTGGTTATGAAAAAGGCAAGATATAACTCTGCATAGGTGGATTCATCTATAATCAACACCCTGCATGACAGTGAAAGTCCATTTCTATTGTCTTGTCTGCTAATTTAGAAACTAATCATTATCCCACCCCCCAAAAGTCATCAGGATATCATATCCTTACCTTCTGTTTCTGCTCTTCCCGGATTTGAGTTTGGGATGACAGCTTTCTGAAGGTGGTCCATGTGATGGTTTGCAAACACTCGGTATGATAACACTGTTCAGGGGTCTGTTGCAACACACTGACACTGTCTCCTTCCTGGGACCATAGGCTTCTGGGGCACTGGGACAATCTTACAGCCTCAGGGCAGTATTTGGGATTGGATATGGCTCTCAGCAATGTACTAACAAACCTGTGATTGCTGAAAAGAAACAGGTGATTTCAGATCCCCGGCAAAAATGACAAAGCTCATTTGTGGTCAGGGGTCCACAAGCTTTCTGTAGCCCAGCCTCCCACTGCCTTCCCTTGCTCTGCACTGTGGTACCCAAGAGCCTCACGCTTCTGTTGCCATGCAGACCTTGGGCTCTCTGCCCATCTGAAAAATACCAGTTACAGTAAGCCCCAGCAACCTCAGAAGAGGGACTGCTGGGGTGTTTTGATTACTGCTTTTAACCAAAGCCCGCACAGGCGCTGGAAGAAGACAGAGCTGATGGAGGGTTTGTGTGAGAGCATCTTCGATCGGGGTGCAACAGCAGAACCCAAACCTGGAGGCGTTCCTTTGTAAATGACTCACGACTCCCCTCATCACTTACGATGGGGGTATAATGATAGCTCTGGTGAGGATTACTTTAAGCATCAAAACACAATTGTGTGCCCTGGTAGAGCCCCTGGCTCTCGGGAACTCCACACCACCCCTGCTTTCCACAGCCTAGTGAGAATGTATTTTCACGGCCCAACATCCTTTCCCAGTCTTAAGCACTATGTATTTTCACTGGGCACAGTGAGCTTTGTTCCTGTCATGACATCTATGGAGACCTCTTAATCCTTGTCAAACAGTGATATTTCCTGATGACTATACAATCAAATATATGAACCTTTGGGGCTATTATTCAAATCACTACACTGGCCATAAGAAATACTCTGGCTACTTCCTCTGATAAAAACTCCCATTCCAGAAGGGGTTCTGGGTCATGGCTTAGAGGAGAAGTGTTATAACTGAGGGGCACAGAAGAGCCAAGCAGATAAGCCTGCCTGCCTTTCCTTGATGTCCCGCCAACTACACAGCTAATTGAAGACAAGTATAGAAGGCCAGAGTCCTTGGCAGGCAGGCAAGAAAGTTGGATGCTCTTAGGAGTACCAGGCAGCATTGGGAGCAGCTGTTGGGTGTTCACGTGTTGGTTTGTAGTACTGGGTTTTGTTTGGAGAATGGGGCAGCATTGGGTCTCTCAGTAGAGGTGAGATCTAATGAGAAGGGAGGCTTATGGGCAAGCGTGTAGACTTTACACAACACACCTCCACCCAGGGTTTTTTCAGAGAGCAGAGGAAAACCACAACATCATACAGACAGCCTGGTGCCACTGTGAACATCAGATGGGCGTCGAGCACAACCCTGGTGACACAGACTGTTGACAGCCCCCGGGTGCCTCGCAGTAGCCCACAGAGTTGGCATCATCGTTGCAATCATTCTTATGAAAGATGTGAGACCCTTCAATGACACACAGAAATTATCACTATATATGGGGCACTCACTTGAGATGACCTTTCCATGCTGTCTCCTGAGTGCTACGACTATAGGTATAAACCTGTAATCATGACTTTTTCCATAGGTAAATCCCAAAGACACATCTGAATACAGCTCAATGAGGTTAAACCTTGGACTTATCCATCAAAAGGCCCAGGTATAGCCTTCAGGAAGCCTAGCTTTGTGCAGTCTCTTGATCAGTTCATTGCAAGGTATGTGGAAAGAAACAACCTCCCCAAAAATTGTGTCTTTAGGGGAAGTGTAAACAACATCTACCCTTCCTCCTAAAGTCCCAAAGACAAACCAAGGCACGATTCCATCAGAGTTCACTCTGGGGAGCCCATGAGTTTGTCAGGCTTGTTTACAGAGCATAAGTGAGGACTTACAGACAGAAGTAGGGGGCACTTTAAAGCAGCCATAACGGAAGGTCTGTACCCAGCATGGGTGGTGACTCCCCCAAGACTAAGTCCACCACCCTCATCCTTCACTACCCTATACCCCTCTCCCCTCGGCCATATGCATAAAGGCAAACTTATAGACAAGCGGTTGGGGGGGGTGACTAGATACTCAGGCAAGGGTCCCATGGGAAAGGCCAGCTTTCATCAGGTCCAGCTGTGATGGTCACTCTCAAGCAGGCACAACGGAACTGAAGATAGCTTGGAGGACTGAATTGTGTAACTTCCCCCAGCAAGCACTCGAAGGATCCTGGCTGTTGTGCTGGTGTTGGAGGCAAACTAGGTTGTCACTAAAGTCTAACTGAAAAACAGAGAGAGTGTTCTCTTTCAGGAGTGTTGAGTGTGGCTGTCCCATGTACCGTTTCAGTGTTGGGAAAGCAGCCCCTGCCCCGGGGGTGGGGTGGGACAATGAATGTGTCAGTTGGTTTTGTGTGGCTGTGACAGAAGAAGGAAATCTCTGTTACCGATCCCAGTTTCAGAGGGTTTGGGGACATGGAAAGAAAGGTTTGGAGAATTCATGGCAACAGGAGCTCCTTGAGTGATGCTCACGTGGAAGCCAGGCCAGGGACCAGTTGTAAGGAGGAGACCGGCACTCATTTAGAGGGGGAACACTCATGTGAGTGAACGGGCATGTGGGGTGCTGCCTAGGAATACTAGAGTGACTCTGCGTTTTATGTTTATGAAGAAAGACAACTAACACTGTAAAGAATCAGGAAAAAAAAGTGGGTGTCACTGGGCAATATGGAGGAAGGCTTAGCCAGTTAAAAAGCTATCCCACCGCAAAAACACCAAAACCAAGGCTGATTTACTGAGGAAGTTCTAAGAACCTGCAACTACCCAAACATGCTTTACCAATCCTACTCTCCACGACTGAGGGGAACAAAAGTTAAGGATGCACCTATCAGAGCGAAGTCGCAACAGAGCAGCGGCCTCAGCAGACCCAGAGCTGCCAAAAGGTCATTCTGAACAAGGAAGCGGGAACAACAGCAAAGCTAAGGAATTCCCTTCGGGTCTGAAGGGAGGAAACCCTCCCAGAAAACATTAGCACAGCCTACCCCGTCCACACTGGCGAGGCGTCAAAAGCCCTACGCCAGGCTTCAAGGGAAAGTGTTCCCAGTTTGGCTCTTTCTCGGACACTCACAGAAAAAAATAAATGCAAATTTGTGTCTGTGAAAAATAGACTCCAAGTCTTCAACAATTTCCCATGGTTACATTTGCATAAATATAACCTCCCTCCCTTTCCCTCTCTCTCTCTCTCAAGGAGAAGGGACAGAAGCAACAGCAGCAATCACCTAAGGTGTCAGAATTACCAAAAGCAAAAATGTGCTTATATGTTTTAAATTTGAATATATTGATGTATTTTGAAGTGTTATTGATTATTTCTAAGCAATGTAAAGGGAAGCATGGATGTGGAGGGACAATGCTTTATTTTCAAAAGACAAAGGAAATTTAAAAAAGAACCAAACTCAATTTCTTGAAATAACAGGAGCTTTTAGTAAGCCCCGAAGTGTAACTGGGTACACAACAGATTAGACTCAGCTGCAAAAAGACTTAGGGAAAGGAAATTTCAGTCTTAGGAAATGGTGGATGAAATATTTATGTCTTCAGAGCAGGCGACAAAACGTATAAGCAGAATCAATGCATACTTAATTTTTAACATCAAATATCACTAGACCCGAAGAGGAAGTCCCAGTCCTGAGGGAAGATGTTCCTACCTGAGAAACTATTGTACATAAAGGCCACCGGGAGATGTTTGCTTCAGGTAAACCATCGTTCAAGGATAGCCATGCTCTGGTAGATGGCTACACACCCATGTTCTCTCTAACAGCACTAAGTAGACTCTGTGAAAAAAAAATTGAAAAACAATCAAAAATAAGAGACTACATGAAGCTAGGAGAGAAAAGTGGGGATGGGAATAGGGGAAGAACAGGAAGGGAGAGGGTGGGCTGGCATTGATTAAAACACATTATATGTGTGTATGAAACCTTCAATAAAAAGCATGTCGGTAAGAGCATCTCATACTCAAAAGACTCAGAGAGAATACCTCCCCCATCATCCAATGCCACCGTCGGACATCCAGCTGACTTTCAATGAGAAAAATAACAAAACCACAAGATGAAAGAGAACCATTTTTCAGGATCCCTGAAAAGAAAATAACCAATAATTTGTGCTCTTTCACACATCACAGGAAAAAGTTTTCAAGAATGAAAATACACTCAAGATAATTTCACGAAGGGATGTCGCCTCCCCAGGCAGAAAACAGGCAGACATCAGGGAGGAAACTGAAGCTCTCAGGAGCCAGGTACAGGCACAAGGGACTCTGAGGGGGCGATGGACAACAGCAGCGCTACTGGCCAATACAGGAGAATGGAGACGAGGAAGTCATTCTGGGCAGCGATACCTCACAAAGGGGAAGGCTCTGTGAGAAACCTGAGAGCCTGGTGCAGCCTTCCGGGAGGCAGGAAGATTGCCCATCCGCTTTCTAGCATCATTACCATAGCAAACTACCTGAGGTAACTTTAAAAGGAGAGAAATTCATTTGGGCTCCTGACTGGAGACTTTACTCCATGATGCTTCTGGGGTCCCGCAGAAGATTTGGAGGGGAGCCTTTGGTAGAGGAAGCCTGTGTACCTCGCTCGGGGCAGAGTGTGAAAGAGACCAGGATGCCACAATCCCTGCAAGGATGCTGTGAATGACCTAAGACCTCCCAAGGGAGCCTCGCTCCTAAAGACGCACTCCCTGTAGCACCACGGGCTGCGAATCAAGCCTTCACCACACGTACCTTTGGAAGGCACTTTAAATTCAGACCCAGGCACAGGTGGGCCTCTCACTGAGGCTGCCGCCTTTGAGGTGCCCTGCACCTGGAAGTAACCCTTCCCCACATGCCCATAAGCAACCCCAGTAAGCTCATCTGGTTGACTTTGGCAGACCAGTTACTTTGATATACCAAAGGGTTCTCTATCTGGGACAGAGAACCAGAAACAATGAAGCCAAGTGTCCATGGACCGAGACCTCTACAACCAGGGATGAAATAAGTATTCCCTCCTTTAAATGTCTTGTCTTGGGCATTTTGTCTCAGTCACAGAGCTCTCTGATCAACAAACCTTATTAAACAAGAGAATCTGTGACACATAATCTCATCTGGAAACTGTCACCTAAGCAGGTTTTCGGCCTTTTTAAGTCAAGTAAGAGAAAGAAGTTAAATTTATACTTTTGCTGGAATTCATAGTTTGCATCTGATTATGGTTTTGTGTCAAAACATCTAACCATTTCTTTCTTTCTACCATAAAATCTTCAGCTAGGGAACTTCTCCAAGGGGCTGAATGTAGCTCGGTGATATGAACTAGCCTACTGAGATTCTAGATTCTCCAATGCCACAAAAGAAAGGAAGGAAGAGAAAGGAGTCCCCACATGGAGACACTGATGTGTCTCCACAGATTAACTGAAGGCAGGTATCACAAGAGCGTGGTTCCATAAAGCAGTCCCTGGCCAGATATTACAGACTGGTGGCTTAAAAATCCCAAATGTATTTTCTAAGAGCTGCTGCGAAGCTGAACTCCAGCGAGCCTCTCCTTGGCATTTGGAAGGCGCTTTGCTGTCACCATGCATGGCTTTCTCTTTGTGGGCAGTGTGAGAGGCAGAGGAGGTGAGAGAGAGGTGTGCGCATGTGTGTGCTGGTGCATGCACCCATGACTAAGCGTTTGGAGCCCAAAGTCAATGTCTAGTGTCTTTGTCAACTGCTCTCCACCTTATTTTTGAGGCAGGGTCTCTCAGTGAACCTGAAGCCCATCGGTTGTCTTGACCTGTGAGCCCCTGCCATCCTCCTGCCTCCTTCCAGGACTGGGATCACAGAAACACACTGCCACAGTTGGCTTGTATTTGTATTCGGAGGATCCAAACTCAGGTCTTCATACTTGTACAAGCACTTCACCACTAATCCAACTCCCCAGCTCCAAGGGCCTCGCCATTAAAGGCCCCATCTCTAATACAGTCAAAATGGAAAGTTCTGGATGGGTACAATTCATGCCTTAACAAGAATATTGTTTAACACTCGTTTATGGTAACATGTAACACTGTGGCAGAAGCTGGAGAGGACAGGAATTTCCTTTACCTTTACAAATATGGTTTAGAACTTTCCATTGCGTATCCGAAAAGGGGACATTGGACAATAGATTAGTTAATTGCCATCAATACGGCAAAATACCTAAAAGATCATATGAAACGTGAAAGGACCTTTTTGGTTCACGATTTCAGTCTGTGGGCCACGTCAGAGAAGAAGAGGTTGTTGCTGGAGAAAAGTCGCTCGCTTTGTAGCAGCCAGGAAGCAGAAGGGAAGGAGGGAGAGAGGGCACTCAGGGTGAGACTCAGCACCCCCAGACACCCCATCACCTATTTTCTCCAGCCTAGCCCTGCCTCCAAGGCTGCTGTCACCACCCAGCCATGCTGCCTCTTTAGGACTCCCTCAGTGGATGAATCCATTGGTTAGGTCGAGTCCCCATCATCCTATCAGCTGTCAATGGTGAGTCTGTGAGCTGGAGGCACACCTCTCTCTCAGCCTTTGGGGGAATTCTTCATACCCAAGGCATTCTAAAGTCATCATGAAAAATACTATGTGAAGTGGGTAATTCTAGGCACACACAGTAGGTTCGAGATGATTCTTTTTGATGTATCACAAGCCCAGAAAGAAAACCAAAATGGTATAACTGAGTGGGACCAAAGAAAAAAGACAAGTGACTACAATTCTGATCGTTTTAGGGTAACAGAACTTTAATTGTCTTAGTTTTTCAGGCTAGTTAATTCTTCTCATTTTGCTTACCCACTAGCAGCTGGAATGACAGAAATCCATCTTTTCTCCAATCCTTTTGCTCCTAAAAGGGTTTTTTTAAAAAAAAGGATTAAAACTGAGAAACTATTATGTGTCTTTCATAGAAAGAGCAGAATTTCCTTCCCCTTTTCCCAAGTGGTGTCACGAATGCTAATTGACACTTTTCTGGAAAGCACCCCAGGCTGAAACTCTGACCCTGTCCAACTTGATAATCCTGACTCACATTTAGAAATCAAGAAACTTCCAGAAAGAGAATGTGTGTGTGTGTGTGTGTTGTGTATGCACACACAATTTATGTTGTCCTGGCTTTTGTTCTCAGAAGGTCATGGGGTGGGGGGTTGGGGGACGGGACCAGAGACGAAATTAGACCTGTGTTTACACAGCTCTTCTCATTGGCCAGGACATAGTTTTTGAAAGTTTGTAAACTAGCCTTCCAATTTAAATTGAATAAGTAGGTGCAGCTGAGTAAATGGAGAGACCTGGGTTTGCAGCCATGTGTTTTCACTTTAAAATTACATTGATGGGGAGCAGAGGGGGGTTAGAAATAAAAATAAGAGAGATAGAAGACAGGCTTTTAAAGGGAGAAAGCAAAGAGTCAAAGTAGAAATCCTCTTCGCTGGGCCCTGTGGGGGCCAGGCATTCCGACTACAAGTCTGGAGAGGGCTGCCTCCTCAGACCTCCTGAGATCCACCGGAGAACTGCCCCTGGGGAAGAGGCCCCGAACACTCAGAGCCCAGGGGCCAGACAGGACCTTAAAGCTTATGGGTTTCCTCAGATGGCCTAGGATTAGACAGTGCCAGCTGGGAGTCTTCCCAGAGCCCCTTCAAGAACAGCAAACGCTACCTGGTAAGAACAGTAATGCACTCCTGAGCCATGTGTCAATCAAGGGTCTCCATGGCGGAACCTTTACTGAGGTCCCAGTCTCCGATGCGCCGCACAGCACAGCTGCGTGTTTGGGGGTTTAGTCCTTTAAAAAGTCTGGCTTGAAACGGGGTTAAGTAGAATTTGAAAAAGACTTAGAGGGACACAGCAGAGAAGGAAGGAGAAATGGGCTCCCTGATGATGGCCGCTTCCTGTTTCGCATAGACATGGCAAGGAGACACCAGGGAAGCCAGCATCTCACAGGACCAACAAGGGTACCGGGCGGCCCAGGGGCCTCAGGTCCAGCCGTAGGCCTGCCCCATCCTGAAGGGATGAAGATGTCACTTTCTCTTTCTTGGGGCTTCCGTTTCTGTCTCCCTGCTACTTTCAATCATTAGTCTAGGCCAGGGCTCAGCCTCCTAGGGCTGGAGAGGAAGGGTGCTTTGATCTTTTATGACTGAAAGGTGATTTCTCTCCCAGGGAAGCAAGGCAGGGTGGGAGGGAGTGACCGGGAGGGTTAGACCAGCACTCCAAAGCCAAGATTCTGGGCAAGTGTGGACCCCAAAGAACTTCTCATCCTCCCAGGTGAGGGAGGCTGGAGGGAGTCTGGTTCCCCACTAAATACACCACAGACACGGCGAGCCTCTGCGCCGTGGCTACATCACCCCGCGCCTGGTTTCTGGGTCCTTGAGCTGTGAATAAAGAAGTCACCTGGGGTGCGCTAGGAAGACAACCACCCCCCACCACTCCACACCCCATCTCTTTCTTCCTGTCTCTTAAACCACTCTAGCATGCGGGCAAAGCTCTGGGCAGGAAAGATGGGACACACAGGAGCTTTGGCTGTTTGTCTAGAGCCCACAGGGCGGGCCAAAGGCTTCCTTCACACACTCCTTCCCTAGCCCTGCAGGCCCTGGCGCTGAGGGGCAGCAGGAAGGAATGGAGAGAGAGAGAGAGAGAGACAGAGACAGAGACAGAGAGACAGAGACAGAGAGACAGAGACAGAGAGACAGAGACACAGAGACAGAGACACAGAGACAGAGACACAGAGACAGAGAGACAGAGACAGAGAGACAGAGACAGAGAGACAGAGACAGAGAGAGAGACAGAGACAGACAGAGACAGAGACAGAGAGAGGAGGAAGGAGACAGGGGACAGGGGAGAGGGGAGAGGGGGAGAGGGTGTGTGTGTTGGCTGTGAGACTGTGGGTGGGCCCTAGGTTTCTCTGAGCATGCCACAAGGCCCTGGGTTCCACCCCAGCACTGTCACAGCCAGCCTGAGGAAATACACAGTCAGTAACAGCCAGAGGCAAAGGAGGCTCTCCCTGCCTGGAGGGAGGCTGCAAAGGAGGATTCCCCTGGGTCTAACACGGGCCCTTCCTGCCGGCCACATCCAAGTCCTTTTCTTCCTGCATTGGCCTGTTGCCTGCCATTGTTCCTGCCCCATGGCACTGGGTACCCCCACTTTTGTTTTCGCTTTCCAGTTGCTATGACATCAATAGGCTGAGGGATCTCTAGAACTGTCACGAGGTACCCAAGAGTCACAGAGAACAACTATTCTCCATAGGACCCCTCCCTTCACGACTGTTAATGAGGACAGGAGGCTACAGGTGCCAACACCTATGTCGGAAAAAAGTCTCCCAGTGCTCTCCAGAGAGCAGGACAAAGATCTGGGTGGATGGCTTTATCTTGCAGATGGGCAGTCATCAGCAAAGCCTCCGAGACTGTGCCCTCACCCACTGGGATGTGTTTGATCCATGCGCCTTAAGAAAGGAGTGCCCTGTTTTCCACACTGGCCTGGTCTGAGTGTAGCTAGATAAAAGCCTCCTGTAGTGGGGAATGTCATCGGTGTGGAAAGTCTTCACAGCTGGCAGCAGGCCCTGGCACAGGTTAAGAAATCAGATGTACCGCCGGCGGTGGTGGCGCACGCCTTTAATCCCAGCACTCGGGAGGCAGAGGCAGGCGGATCGCTGTGAGTTCGAGGCCAGGCAGGACCGACAGCCTCGAAAACAATACAGAGAAACCCTGTCTCGTAAAAACCAAAAAAAAAAAAAAA